CAACTGATCTGCCTTACCCAGGAAGAGCGCAATGATGGTGCCAACTTGGGCCAGTGAAGCAACATCCTCCACAACTAGACTGAAGAACAAAATGACAGCAGCTTGTCTGTTCCCCTTCCCCCAATTCCCCAGCACTGTTCCCATCCCCCCAATTCGCCAATAAAAATCTTAAAAAAAAAAAATACTGTGAATGCTGCTGCTGAGTGCCACCCAATGGACAGGCGTGGATCTTCAATACAGGAAGCAGTACATCAAACCTTAGTAACAGTGTGTGACATGTTTCAACTTGTTCGGTGCAGTCAGTCTGGTGTGAGCTACAGTTGAAAGAAGGAAGGTGTGTTTTAAAGTGCTGTAAATCACCCTCCATCATAACATGCTCCATGTCACACATCACTTCTGGTATACAGCAATTTCTATCAAATAAAAACACGGTGTGTCTCATCCACCTAAGTCACCGGATCTGGCACCATGCGACTTCTTTGACGCTTCTCCAGAGTCAAAATGATTCAGGACATCGAGGCAGCCACAACAGCGCAACTAAAGACATTCATGAAAGAGGACTTCCAGAACTACTTCAGAAAGTGGCAAGAACCATGGGACAAGTGTGTTCAAAGAGAAGGGGAGTATTTTGAGGGGGATTAATGGCAATGTGTCCTTTACTATAATAAATTTTTTTATTTAAGCATTCACCATAGTTTTTGATCACACCTCGTATATAGAATTTTTTAGCCATCATACAAATGAATTGAGTATAGGGTAAAAAATAATTTATATTCTTTGCCTGCTAACAAATGAGACATAAACCCTAACAAATAATGCAAGGCCTATGAGTGAACTTGGTGGATTAACGATAGTAGAGGAATGAAGACTCGAAACGTCTGCTACAAAATGTGTATAGAGTACAAAAAATCATTGTCTTTATGAGTTCTGAGTAAAAAGCTAAGAAAAGAATACGCTGAGATGAAAAGGGAAATGGGCATGAAGAAGAAAAGATGATAAGGAAACTAAAAAAATAAGCAGGAATTAAATACATAGAGAAGGCCAAAAAAGCAGAATCGTTAAGGGCAAAATCTGCGATGCAGGGTAGCCTTGAAGAAAGGACTGTTGTTGAAAGAGTTGAGGTAGAGAATAGAACCAAGATAATATTTTTGAAAACCAGAACAAATAGAACAGAAGTGATAATAGTTACAGTACAAAGAGTTGGCACTTACTGTATTCTTACTGTGTGTCAGGCACTTGCCTACTTAAATCCTTATGATACACCTCAGAGGGGAATCACTCCTGTTAGCTCCATTACACAGAGGAGAAGGTGGAGATTTGCGGTAAATCACTCCAGGTCACACAGGTATTCCAGATAATTGAGGATTTGTTAAAAGAGAAATTTCCCCTGTATTGTAAAGAAGGAACAGGTTTGTTGCATTCTGGGCAACACTCCTGATCACAGCTTGATTGTTCCTGGCAAAACAGTTTTGTTAGTGAATCAACCAATTTTCTATTCACTAGATAATACATTGTCTCTTTGCCGCTAACACCTAAGGGTAAGATTTTTAAATTGTGACTTGTACTGACATTGCCAGTCCTAATCCTTCTATTTCATGTTTGTATTCCTCTTCTCTCCAGTGAAAACTTCTGTGTGTATACTTATTTACTCACTACTGTAATACATACGGAAGAGTTTTGGAATTGCTGTTCCATTCAACAGCAGTTCTTTTTTGTCATTGGAACATACCCCATTGAGGGTGGATGGTTAAGGAGCTACTTAAAATCTCTTTTCCTTCACTGTGGTTATGTTATCAGCCTGATATGTGGTCAGGTTCATTTTTTCCTCTTTGTATTCAGTTGTTGGGTCCCTCCAGCTTTATCAATTTAATTTAATTTTTTAAATATATAAAACATTTAACATGACTTAAATGTCAAAACTGTATAAAAGAATTTCCTCAGAGAAGTTTTATTTCTTTCCCTATACCTTCTTTTTTTGTTTCTGCTTACTGTCTAGGAAAAATTTTTATTACTTTCTGGTTTATCCTGTTTCCTTTTGGAAAAATAGATTGAAAATTGTGTATATATATATTTATATATTTATTTTCCCCCTATTCTTAGCTCTCCTACTTGCTCATGGAAGTCCTTTGTTATGGAAGGGATGGCATACTATATGTATGCCTTGCTTTTTTTTATTTTTATTTTTTTCCTTAGAACTATTAGCCCATGGAGATCTTCCTCATTCTTTCTTATAGCTGTATTATTCCAATGGGTACTTACATTATTTCTGATATTTGCTATCTTAAACAGTTGTTCAGTGAATATTTTTTAAATCTTTGAATTATGACAAAGACAAGTCCTACAGGCAACTGGGATAAACACAGGTTACCCCCAAAGAAAATCAAGTTGGTTTTAGATTTACATAATATTGTACCTAGAACAGAGCCTGACACATAGTATTTATGTTGTTTAAAATTCACTCTTATTTTTAAGTGATTCATAATGATGTTGAGCTATTTTAATTGATTATTTTCATAATTATTCCATATCCATGTGTTTATATTGCATATATTGTACTTTGTGGTTTTCCACCCCTGCTTCATAACTCCAGTAGAGACAGCACATCCTCGCTTGTCCTTGCCACTCCCATAGGATTCAGTAGATATGTTTTATCACCTCTCTCCTATTTGGGATAACCAACCCCTAGAGAGCTGGCTTTTTAGCACCTAACAGAATGCCTGGCCTTAGTAGGTACTTAATGTATTTGTTAATTGAAAGAAGGGATTTTAAAAAATCATTAACAGTTTTCACAAACAGTGAATAAAAATAAATTGTGTTCACTTCCAATTTTTCTAGTAAAAGCATACACCTGTTTTATTCATTTTTCTCTTTATTTTTTCTCTTCAAATTTAGTCTGTGCTGAGGCCTTTAACCCTGATGAGGAAGAGGAAGATACTGATCCGAGGGTAAGAACTGCAGCAAAGGTATTAGGTAGAATTGTTGTATTCCCCACTTACCCCCCACTAGTCCTCTACACACCACATCTAATCATGCTGATAATTAAAATACATACAAATTAAAATCTCAACAAGATGCCATTTGAGGTATTGGCGAGAAGGGGTGCCAGCTGTCAAAGCCTTAAACATTGTCAAGCCAACTGATTCAGCAGTTACCTGAAGGAGAATTCATTCCTGATAAACAAGTGGATTCTTCCTAAGGGGGTACAAATAGAGATCATTACAGTGCTGCAATAGCGATCTATCCACTTATTTATTTGTAGAAACATTTATATCCGGAAGGGTATATCCCAGATGTTAATGGTGGTTGTGGCAGAGCTGTGATTGACTTTCGAACGCTTTTTATAAAAACTCAGGTTTTTAAACTCTTGTACAATTAACAAATTACTTCTATAAAAGCAACTCAACTATAAAGCATCATTTAAAAAAGATGGATGTTAACAAAAGAAACTTTAATTATCTTTCAGGTGTGCCTTAAAATGAGTAGTAGCCTATAAAAGATTTCTGAAGTATTCTAATAATAAAATGCTACCATTGTGTGAATGTAATAGATATATAAATATAAAAATTTTTTAAATTCTGGGTATTGTAGAATTCTTGATGACTTAAAAGTTAAAATGATTTTTTACTAACTTTAATATCAAAAATTCAAAATCCTTAACACTTTTGATATGTTATTTCTAGTTAGATTAAGTGAGAACTTTTTTTAGGGTGAAGACAGTACTTCATAGGTCTCTCAATTTTAACAGCAATACTAGGCAATAATTACTTTTTTTGTAGTTCAGTAAATATTGACTATGATAATAATAGTTTTTGAGCACCTACTAAATGTCAGGTACTGTTTTAAACACTGCATATATTAACTCATTTAATCCTTATGACAACTCTAATTTTATAGATACCACTAATATAATAATAATAATGATGTTGATGTTTGAAATCTAGCTTGTATAGCCATTTAACATGAACTCCTGATTATTTCCCTTTAAACATTCTTCTCTACCCACAAGTCTTCTCCAGTTCAGTTCATGGCAGTTTCATCCTTCAGTTGCTCAGGCCCAAAACTTTAGGGTCACCCTTGGCTCCTCTCATTATTTCATACCCACATTCAATTTTTCAGCACATCCAATGGGCTCAGTCTTCAAAACATACCCCAAATTCCACTACTTCTCAGCATCTTTATCACTACTACCCTGGTCCTAACCACCACTATCTGGCACTGGGATAACGACAGTAGCTTCCTGGTTTCCACTGTCTTCCCTCAAGGCTGTTCTTTACTGGGCAGCCAGTGTGAGCCTTTAAAAACATGAATCAGATCTCTTTTTTTCCTCAGCCACAACTCTCAAATTGCCCTCATGTCACTAGAGGAGAGTTCCATCCAGTTCTATAACCTACAGTACCCTCTGTGATTTGGGCATCATCCCCCACAAGCCCCCCAACCTGGTCTTTTCCTGGTCTTTTCCCCTCGCCCTGCATCAGTCACAATTGTTTCCTGGTTATTTCTCAAACATGCTATTCCCCTACCGTAACGCCTTGCTTTTGGTAGGTGTTGAGGTGCTCTTCCCATAGAAATATTCCTCATGACTCACTCCCTCAAGTTGTCCTCACTTGCTTGAGCTCTTTATACAAATGTCATCTTCTCAGAGAGGTCACATCGTGCATGCTTTTTATCACCCTTCCCTACCTTATTTTTCTCCTTAGCCTTATCACTCTTCAACATATTTTATGTATTTATTGAATGTGAGAGCAGATATTTGTGTGTGTGTGTGTTCACTGCTGTGTCCCAAGACGTAGGACAGTGCCGGGCACCTAGTATGCCTACTATCTGTTGAATGAACAAATCTATAACTCTGTGCTTTGTGGATGAGGACTCTGGGGCTTCCAGCGGGTAGCTGACTGGCTGGCAGCCATACAGCCCGTGGGTGGCTCAAGGGTGTGTGCTCTTCAACCCCTATCATATTTCCCTCCATGACCAGGGCACTGGTTGCTATTTTTATAGAATTTAAATTATAGTAAATATGCTCTTAATTTTTCCCACTTTTTGGGAGAAAGAAATATACTAATTTGTAAATAAAGTAGATTTTAAATGGAATTTAAAATTTCCTTGGTTTTACTTGGGTTGGCAGGTGATTCATCCTAAAACTGATCAACAGAGATGCAGACTTCAGGACGCTTGCAAAGATATTCTCCTTTTCAAAAATCTTGATCAGGTAACATTGATTAAAAGAATTTTTTTTTTCAGTTACACTTGACACTCAATATTAGTTTCAGGTGTATGGCATAGTTGTTAGATATTTATATAACTTACGAAGTAATCCCCTCGATAAGTCACCCACCTGGCACCATACACAGTTATTACAGTATTAGCAACTATATTCCCTATAATGTACTTTACATCCCTGTGACTATTTTGTAACTGCCAATTTGTACTTCCTAATTCCTTCACCTTTCTCACCTATTCCCAACCCCCCTTCCATATGGCAACCATCAGTTGGTTCTCTGTATCTATGAGTCTGTTTCTGTTTTGTTTGTTCGTTTATTTTGACTTTTAGATTCCACAAATAAGTGAAATTATATGATATTTGTTATTTCACTTAGCATAGTACCGTCTAGGTCCATTCATGGTATCCTAAGGTAACACTGATTTTGAAAATATTTTTGTCTTTTAGCTTTTCTCCTGTTTGTCACTTAGTTTGTAGTGTCTTAGCCACAGCCATATGAAGCATAAAACTTTAGATTCATCTTACAGATGTTTACATTGTGTTGACCATCATAACCCATAATGAGCTTTTCAGATGACTTTAGTATTTCTCAGAACTGCTTTGGCACTCCCTCCAAGACAGTACCATTTGAGGACCATGCTGTTTGGCCATGTGAAAAGGAAATGTTCAGGTTTGCATTACCCTCGCTTAGTTTGAAGAGTTTGAATTCATGCTGCAGAGTAATTCTTCCAAAGATGCCAGTGTGGAGTTCTCTTCATCAGTACCAGTTAACCCACTGGAAGTACATGACTGAATCTCAGACCTTAGATGTGGGCCAGCTCTTGTGATTACTTCTCAGCCAAGACCTCAGGCACAGGGCGCACACAGAGTGGTGTGTGTCTGTGGGGCCCTGGCATAGGGATCTCTGCCTAGGCTTGTCTGCCCTTCCTTGGTGGAGGTAGAGAGCAGGGGATCACATGTTGCTTTTGTTTGTCATGGTGTCATTTTAGTCCCTTCTAACCTGGAATGTTCCCCCGGCACCTTATTCTGTATCTCATGACACCGATGTTTTTAAAGAGTCCAGGCCAGAAGAAGTGTTACTCAGAACAAGAGGCTGTCAATAGACAACCCACAGGCCAGATACAGCCAGGTATAGATGTGTGTGTTTGGTCTGTATTGCATGTGAAGGTTTGAATTTGTTACCTATACAGTCATGTGTCACTTAATGACGGGGATACGTTTGTTCTGAAAAGTGCATTGTTAGGCAATTTCATCACTGTGCGAACATCATAGTGCAGTTACACAAACCTAAATGGTGTAGCTTACTACACACCTGGGTATATGGTATATATAGTCTATTGCTTATAAGCTACAAACCTGTACAACATATTACTGTACTGAATACTGTAGGCAATTGTAACACAATGGTATTTGCTGTCTAAACAAGGAGATTATTCACACACAAGAGAAAATGATGCAATAAAGAGACGCAGTAAACACAAGATATATGAAGCTGCTGCTGGTATAATATGGCATACATACTGTGTTACAACAAATATGTTTTATAAGTAGGAAGAGTACACTCTAATGATAAAAAGTGTAGTATAGTAAATAAATAAACCAGTAACATAGTCGTTTATTATCATCAAGTATTATGTATTGCTCATAATTGTATGTGCTATACTGCTGACAGCACAATTGGTTTGTTTACACCAGCATCTCCACAAACACATGAGTGATGTGTTGTGCTACAGTGTTAAGACAGCTACAGCCTCACTAGGCAATAGGAATTTTTCAGCTCCATTATAATCTTGTGGGATCACCATCATATATGTGGACTGTTGTTGACCAATGTCGTTATGTGACACATGACTATATTTAAACATGAGATTTCTGGCAGCACTGGGCTCATATTTTATATGAATGTGGATGGCACGTGAGTAGCAAGCCTTCCTTTTTTTTTAGTATTTGTCAGCTTGTGCAGTATTCAACACACATGGAACTGTGGAACTAAAGAGATACATTTTGTTGATAATTATTTTAGGTAGCATGGCCACACTGACAGAACACTAAATCACATGGAATTGTGCAGCAATAAAATTATTTCCTTACCAGTTTTTCAATCCACATTCCTCCAAAGAGAAAGTCTTTCTGTGAGTTAAAGCTGCTATTCTTTAGTGCCCCTTAATAGTCACTGATCTGCCTGCCTCACAGAGGGACCCTGGCCCTAGACTGAGACCATTGTTTTGTTAGAATTTAATAGCAAGGTTTTGTTGTCATTATACTTATTGGAACAGTTACCTTCTGGTTATGGCAGGTAATATTGGTAAGTAATTGTACGTGTTGTATATAAACAATTGAAACAGTATTAGCTGTCTGATAACATCTCATTTATTGAGAACCTGTTGTGTAATAAACACTTTCCTTAGATTTTTCTCCTTTAGTCATAAAAATTGATGAACTAAAAACTATTTATTAAATCCCTTTTTACATATGAAAACACTGAGGCTCAGAGAGGTGAAGTGATATGCTTGGCTAGTCAGAGCAGTTGTACTGCTCTAAAAGATATCTCTGAAGCCGCCCCAGCCCCTTAGATCTGATGATCCTGTTAAGATTAACACCTGTAGGAAGTTAGCACCATCACATGACATGGTGGAGCCAGCAGGACCGGTGACAGTCATGTGCCTATGGCTGGGAGAACGGGCACCATGATTAGGTGCCTATTTTTGCTTAGAAAAATAAATGTTTTTGTAAAATATGGAACGTCTTTTCAAAGCAAGACTGCCTCAAAAACTTGGCAACTATGCTGTGTACATGGAGGTACAAAGCTGAATGGTCCCAGAAAAGCATTTGTTTCAGACAGCCCTTAGGTTACTGCTTGAATATGAGGAACAGACTGATTTGGGGGCTCCCACTATGTAGTCATTTTTTTTTTTAAGCAAATGTAAAAGCCATCTTTTCTCCTTGTGTGTACCCTGCAGGAACAGCTTTCTCAAGTCCTCGATGCCATGTTTGAAAGGACAGTCAAAGTTGATGAGCATGTTATTGACCAAGGAGATGACGGAGACAACTTTTATGTTATAGAACGGTAGGAGTTGGAACTTTGCAATTGTGCAGCTACACTTAGTAAGATTCATGATTCAGGACAAGTGCTTTACCCTGTGCTTTGTGTAGCCTGGGAGGACTTAGCCATAGCCAGGTGAACAAGCTTCCCAAAGCTTGCCCCTCTTAGTCCACTGCTGTCCTGAATCCTTAGTACAGCCCAGATTTTACAGCAGAAAGTCTCCTTTACAATTAGATGAGATGTGCAAGATGTGCTTTGTAAACATGTTACTTGCCAGTGTTCATGTGGGTTTATTTCCTGAAGAATAGCTGTGACCCTATATTATCCTTCAGATCTTTCAGCCCCAGCCTAATTTTACACACAGGTAACCTGCCTCATCCTCCTTGCCCCTGGCCCCTTCTGGCTCTGTTCCAGGTATAAGCCATGTTGGGGACCATGAAATATGTGGGTTTGACTTGCTCGCCTTAGTGTGGCCTAGCTTCTTGACTGTTAGTATCATCTGGGGGGCTCCTTTTGACCCCCCTCTCAGTCCTGAAAGGAACAACTTCACCAGAGTTTAAGATCAATAAGGTGTTGCCTCACCCAATAACTTCCATTATTTTTCAGTTTTTTCTTTTGAAGTAATTTCAGAGTTACAGAAACATTACACAAATAGTACAAAAAATTCTCATAAACCTCGGTTCCCCAGGTTAATGTTTTATCACATTTGCTTTATTAATTGTTTGAGACTAAGTTATAGGTATAATACCCTTTTATCTCTGAATACTTCGGTGTGTATGTCCTAAAAATAGAACATTCTTTTACATAAGTACAGAACAATTATAAAATCAGAAATTAACATATATACAGTACTATCATCTACTCTACAGACTTATTCAAATTTTTCCAGTTGTCTCCCTGATTTTTGAGGCTCTTTTAATCCCCATCAATTAGCTATACTAGTTTCAGTTGGTCCCCTTTCTTGTCAAGCCTTTGCTAGTTCATATTTTTTAACAGAAAACATTCTCACTCCATGATATCTGACAGTGTTATAATTAGAAGAAATGTTTTATTTAAAGAGTAAAGATAATATAACATCTTCTTAAAGACTATTTTACTTTTATTTGTTATGCTCATGCTTCCTACATAGAATTCTATAAGTAGTGTCAGAATAATTTTTTAAGTTAGATTACCACCTCTAGCAGCTACCTTTCCTCCTTGCTCTGCCATGTGTTCCCCTTCCAACTCAGGAATCCCAGTAGCCACCTGCTGTCTGGGAAATAAGCACCCACCTGCACCCATAGCTTAAAAGTTAAATGCCTGTCCACAAAGAAAATGATTTGTTATATGTGTAAATGAGAGGGATTATCTTTTATATGCTGTTAAAGGGGTTATTAACAAATTGGAAAGACTGTCATTCAAGTAAAAAGATACAGTTCCTGACCTCAAAAAACTTATCTTGTTGGAGAGACGGACTCTTAAATAGATAATTGTTACATAATGTGGTAGTAACAACAGTGATAAAACTATGTCCCGTTATTTGGAAGAGGACCTGGTGGGAGAGGTTAGGAAAGACTGCTTTGTGGGTGCCTGAAATGGTTTGTGTCATTGCCAAAATTAAATAGCTAGTGTCTCTTGGAGGAGAGACTAAAAACATGTAAGTGAATTTATTCTGAATTCTGTTTCCCATTCAAGGCCTCATTACTTTTGCCTTGTCCACTAGGTCTAGTGCAGGTCAGTTTCCCTATTGAGCAGAGTTGGTGCTACATAACTGATGCTTGAGTGATTGGTTTTATTCTCTGTTTCTTGTGTAACATAGGATACTTAGTGATTTTATCAGACAGGTGGGGGCTCTTTAGAGGAACTTTAGAAAATAAAAACAAAAACAGCAAAGAAAGTAATTTGGCCATAATTTCGTTACCAGAATGTATCCTTCCATTTTATTTTTTTTCTTGCTTTACTGTTGTGGTCAAATCCATTATCCCAAATTTGGTTCAGATGCTGAGACTGGTGATACCATACAAACACTAAGAGGGAATGAAAAGCTTTCTTACTTAGATAATGAGGCTTTTTAGGGAGAGCAAGGGGCTCCCAAGAGGTCCAAAACTGGCTTGAGACAGCAAGGAGGGTGACTGGCTTGGAATTTCATGTTAGTTAGAAGGTGGGGCTGGGTGAGGGCACTCTTATGTATGGGCTGGCACTTATGTTGTTTGAATTTCCCGTTAGTGACAAAGGAGGGAACAGCGAGGCTTTCTTATCAGCTTTCCCAGATGTGAGACAGAAGAGGAAGGTGGATTGGAGTGGTAGGGTTTGAAAACTATTACAATCAAACACCAAAAATGGAGTTGAATCTTCATTACATTTACATATATATAGTTCTTATGTTGAGTCATACATCATTGTGTGGCCTGCCTGATATTTAAAATCTATTTTAAGTAGTTTGCTATGGGATGCACTATTATTCTGTCATCGTTTATAATATATTGACTGCATAATGTGTATATAGACATATATTTGACCTAGCTTCTATTGTTAACAGATTAAATTTAATTTTTGCTGTTATAAATATTGCCTGGTGAGCATCCCTGCAGTTAAAGTTTTTTCAGTATTCTCTGATTGATTATCTCCTTTAGAATACCTACTAGAAAAGGAATTGCTGTGTCAAAGGGTCTCTTTAAGGAATTTGCTATATATTGTTATCTTGTAGAAACTTGGAACCATTTATGTTTGCCTCAGTGGTGTATTGAGAGTGCCTATTTCTCCAAATGCCTGTCAGTTGTGAATATTGTTATTTAGTAATCATTATCAATCAACAGATAGAAATTTTGTATTTTTGGTTTCTTTAATCAGTTCTACATCCTAGTTTTCAACAGACTACAAAAGAAAACCCATACAATCATGTCAGTACCTATAGGAAAAACATTTGATAAAATTCAGCACCTTTTCTTGATTATTAATAAAAACTCTCTACAACCTAGGAACAGAGGGAACTGTTCTCCAACCTGATTATAAAGGCATTTATAAAAAACCTACAGCTAGCATCATACTTAATGGTAAAAGATTGAATGTTTTCCCTTTAAAATCAAGAACAAGACAAGGATGCCTGCACTCACTATTTGTATTCAATATTTTATATAGTCCTAGCCAATGCAATAAGGCAAACAAAAATGAAGGAAAGAAGGGAGGGAAGAGATTGGAAAGGAAGAAGTAACACTGTCTTTGTAGATGACATAACCCTCTACAAAATCCCAAGAGTGCTACAAAAAAGCTAATAGAATAAATATTTGAGTTTAGCAAGGTCACAGAATACAAAATCAAAATGCAAAAATCTGTTGGGAATCCCCTGTAACAATGTTTTATATCATATGTACCTTCTATTCATGTACCCCCTGCCAGTTCTTAAATTTATTATTAGAAGGAATAAAATTGTTTCTTGTTATACTTTCAGGGGAACTTATGATATTTTAGTAACAAAAGATAATCAAACCCGCTCTGTTGGTCAGTATGACAACCGTGGCAGTTTTGGAGAACTAGCTCTGATGTACAACACTCCGAGAGCTGCTACCATTGTCGCCACTTCAGAAGGCTCTCTTTGGGGACTGGTGAGTTAGAGAAATGCTTCCCCTTGCATGGCACAGTGTTAACCCTTACTTCTGGGTCTTTATCCTTGGGATGTTCATTAGCACTGTTATTTATTTATTTATTTTAGCTGAGCAATCCTGCCACCTGTTGGCAGCTCAGCGGCAGCTTAGCTCGGGCCGCGAATTGAACCGGCGACCCTGTTGCTCAGCGCTCGCACTCCTGAGTGAGCTCTTAACCAACTGAGGCACTTGGCCAAACCAACACTATATTTTATAGCTAGTTGTCTAAAAGATATTGTGGAAGGTCTTGTACCAATGTGTTTTTCCATTTCTCTAAAATAATTTGTCAATAAACCATTTGCTCCAAATTATAGGGAAAAAACTGGGTCTTATGATCTTGTAGTCTTGTCAGCTCTTATTACATTTTCTGTTTGTTTTTATGAGACGTGTGGTGGCTGTAGGGGAATAACTCTCTATATAAGAGACAGCCTAGAAAAATAAGTGTCATTGAAAGCTCTGTCAACAGTTTTTTCATCTCTAGCTGTCCCAGGACTAACTTTTTTCTATGTTCAGCCATCCATTTGTGCATTGGTCCATGCCCAATCCAATAGATTTAGATGATTAGAAAGGCCGATGGTTATATTCTGGGAAAGAGAACTTTCCTAGAATGTCTTAGGCATAGCACGACTGTGATCCCTATCCTTTATTATACGTGATCCACCTTGCTCTTTTCAGCATCACTCCTTCAAAATGTATCTCTTCCTTCTTAAACAAAATAATCTTTCTCTTGTACAAATTCCAAATTTCACTTTCAAAATGTTGACATTTATGGTAATTTGTTTCTGTTTACCTTACAAGCAGAATTAAATGTACACCATAGAATTATCAACATACTTTCTCAAATGAAATCACATTTTAAAGACATACTAGAGCACTTTACTGTGATTTAAGAAGAATTAAGAATTTCTGAGAGATGAGTGATACAGTGGTTTAAGAATACATCACACCCTTTGGGGACTCAGTGATGGAAAAACTCAAGGATAGATCAATAAATAATGGGGGGAAATAATCTTAGTTTTTTGGTTTTGTTTTGTTTTTTAAGATTTTATTGGGGAATTGGGGAAGGGGTATGGTGCTGGGGAATCAAGGGAAGGGGAACAGACAAGTTGCTGTCCCTTTGTTCTTTAGTCTAGTTGTGGAGGACGTCGCTTCACTGGCCCATGTTGGTATTATCATTGCGCTCTTCCCAGGTGAGGCAGATCGGTCGCCGGCCTCTGGACGGCCGCTCACAGTGGCTCTTGGCAGCTCACTCGGGCTGCTGGCCGCTCACGCTGGCTGCTGGCCATACACAGTTGCTCATGGCAGCCCACTGCAGCAGGGGCTGCAGCCTACGCCGTCGCCAGGACTCATGGCAGCCCAGCTCCAGGTCGAGCTGTTGTTCACCATCTTAGCTGTAGATGGCAGTGTCACTGTCCCCCATGTGGGATCCGAACCAGGGCCCTGCTGCTCAGAGCTGGCGTCCCAAGCCAGCTCTTAACCAACGTGCCACTCGGCCGGCCCTAAACTTGGTTTTAAAATGCATTGATGCCAGCTACTGGTCCACGCCAAGATGGAACAACCACGTTCCTCACTGGTCTTCCCTCTTAAAACTAAATAATTCTAGATATCATACAACTAACAGACAGATCCTAAAAGATGGAAAGGAGAAGGCAAACTGACTAGGGTCTCGGGACTTAAGGAAGGACAAGGAAGGACATAAAAGTGAGTTCCCTGAGTTTTCTTATTGCTTCCCGTATATCTCAGATGGGGTGCTGGAAAGGCCTACGAGCCACATCCACCAACAGATACATACAAAAACAACCCCAGGAAAAGCCTGCTCCCCTTACCAAAGGTCTAGGAAAAGGGCAGCCTAGCAGAACAGAAAACCTTTTTCTTTATAATACCACCCTATTCCAGCCAAATACCAAAGAAAAACTGCTTCTGTCCCCCCACAGTGTCACTGGGGCCAGCAGGAAGCTGGACTTCCAGTCTCACCTGGCAGCGAAGAGGCAAAATGAGGTGATGCGTGGTATTACTAATTGGCACTCCACTTTCCCTGCCCAGGATAGTGTCAGTGGGGTCCAGAGGGGAAGTGAACGTGCACGCCCACATGTACATGCATGCTATATCTAAGCAGGGTGACTACCTATAAAAAAAGATGACATAGGATACAGAGTTTCACACCATAATACCCAAAATGTCCAGGGTAAAGCAGAAAATCACTTGTACCAAGAACAAGAAAGTTCTCAACCAGAATGAGTGAAGACAATTAGCAAATGCCAATAACAAGATGACACAGATATTGGAAGTAGCTGACAAGGATTTTAAAGCAGCCATCATAAAAATGCTTTTATCAGGCAATTATGAACACATTTGAAACAAATTTAAAAAAAATAGAAGGTCTCAATGGAGAAAAAGAAAACAGAAAGAAAATTCAAATGGAAATTTTAGAACTGGAAACTACAATAACCAAAATAAAAACTCACTGGATGGGCTCAATAGCTGAATGAGAGGAAAGATCAGTGAACTTGAAGATAGAACAATAGAAATTACCCGAGCTGAACAACGGAAAGAAAATAGATGAAATGAAGTGAAGAGAGCCTGTGGAATAATGCCAAAAGATACAGTATTTGTATCATCAGAGTCCCAGAAAGGAAGGAGAAAGTATAGAGTTAAAAAATGATTCAAAGAAATAATACTTGAAAACTTCCCAAATTTGGTGAAAGATAATAAGTCTACAGATTCAAGAAGCTGAATGAGCTACAAAGTGCATAAACCCAAAGAAATCTATGCCAAGACATGTCATAATCAAACTTCAGAAAACTAAAGTAAAAAAAAAATTTGAAAGCAGCTAGAGAGAAACAATGCATTACCTATAGGGGAACAGCAATTTGGATGACAACGGATTTCCTATTCATGGAGGCCAGAAGGAAGTGGCACAGCATTTTTTAAGTGCTGAAAGAGAAGAACTGTCAACTCAGAACTCTATTACTAGTGAGAAAATCCTTCAGGAATAAAGATATTCTCAGATAAAAGGAAACTGAGAGACTGTTACCAGCAGACAGCCTTAGAAGAGTGGCTAAAGGAAATGATGCAGAAGGAAATACAGAATACAAGTGATAAAAGAAGAAAATTTGGAACACTAAGAGTGAAGAAAGGAAGCCAGCCAAGTGGCTCGGTTGGTTAAGAGTGTGAGCTCTGAGCAACAGGGTCACCGGTTCAATTTCCACATGGGCCAGTGAGCTGCGCCCGAGCTGAGCTGCCGCTGAGCTACCAGCAGGTGGCAGGATGGCTCAGCTGGTGAGACCACGTGCCCCTAACAACAGGGTTGCCAGTTTGACTCCTGCATGGGATGGTAGGCTACGCCCACCTGCAGCTAAGATTGAACACAGCACCTTGAGCTGCCCTGAACTGCCGATAGGCAGCCGGATGGTGACTGGGCTTGGAGCTGAGCTAGCTGTGCCCTCCACAACTAAGACTTTTTTTTTTTTTTTTTAGCTGAGCCATCTGGCAGCTCAACTTGGGCCATGAATCAAACCGGGGACCCTGTTGCTCAGAGCTCAAACTCTTGAGTGAGCTCTTAACCAACTGAGCCACTCGGCCCGCCCGCACAACTAAGATTGAAGGACAGCAACTTGGCTGTTCCCCTTCCCCAGTTCCCCAACACTGTTCCGCTTTCCCAATTCCCCAATAAAATCTTTAAAAGAAAAAAAAAAAAAAGAGTAAAGAAAGAACCAAAAAAAAAAAAAGTAGACACATAGGGAGATATAAAAGACTATCCTCCTCTTGAGTTTTCTAAATTATGTTAGATGGTTGGAAACAAAATTATTACATTGTCTATGTGGTTCTCAATGTATGTAGAGGAAATATTTAAGACAATTGTATCCTAAAGTGGGGAGAGTAAATGGAGGTAAAGCTTCTACACTTGACTCAAACTACTAAAATGTTGACACCAGCAGACTGTGACAAGTTACCTATATAATATCTAGAGCAACCACTAAAATAGTCAGTACAAAGAGATGTACTTACACATTCTCTAAAGCAAAATGGAGTTCAAAAACTGGTCACGTAATCCATAGGAAAGCAGGAAAAGTGAAACAGAAGGACAAAAAAAATGGAACAACAGAAAACATACAATAAAATGGTATACTTAAGCCCTAATATATGAATAATTACTGTAAATATAGATGATCTAAATATACCAATTAAATGACAGAGACTGGTAAAATGGATATTTTTTAATGACCTAACTATATGCTATCTACAAGAAACTCAAATATAATTATATAGATAGGTTGAAAGTAAAAGGATATAAATAGATATACCATGCAAACATTAACCAGAAGAAAGCAGGAATAATTATATTAGTATCAGATAAAGTAGATTTCACAGCAAAGAAAATCACTAGGGACAAAGAGGAACATTACATAATAATGAAAAGGTTAATCAAGAAAATACAGCAATCCTAAATATGTCTACAGCAAACAACAGAGTTTCAAAATATGTAAAACAAGTGATAGAGCTGAAAGAACAGACAAATCCACAATCAGTTTCAGACTTCACCATCCCTCTCTCAACAATTGAGAGAACGACTAGATAGAAAATCAGGAAGGACATAGAAGAACTTAACACCATCAACCCCAAGGATCTAATTGAAATTCATAGAACACTCCACATAACAACAGTAGAATACACATTCTTTTCAAGCCAGGGAATGTTCACCAAGGTAGACATAACAAGAGATAGCAGGAAAATCTCCAAACACTTGGAAATTAAAGAACACATCCTAATAATCTCGAAGTCAAAGAGACAGTCTCATTAGAAATTAAAAACAAACAAACTGTAAAACCACTTGTCTTGTGGTTGGGGTACGAGAATTAAATACTAGATGGACAGAAGAGAAGCAGCTTCTGGCGCAAGATCAGTGCTGCAGAATGGTGACATCTGCTCCCCATGGGTCGTCGTGTGCTGCTCACCACCCTTCTTGTCCTGAGGCTCCCTCTCCAGAGATCCCTGCCATGCTTTTCGCCTTCCCTAGCCTTATCCTTTGAAGCCTTTTCTTCCTCTCCCTGCTGTCTTGAGTGACCTATCATGATGCCCTTTGGGCCGCTGCTTTTCTCCTGCTTTGTTCACTTGCTGTACAACCCAAACCCTTCCAAAGCTTCAGTACCACCTCCAGGAAGGTGAGTCCGAGTGTCATCTACAGCCTAACTTCTTACTTGTGCTTTCCAAGGCCTTGGAAATGCCTACTGAAGCCAAAGCAGGGACAACCTGGTGTTGTCACAGAGTTTCTGAAATTGGATTCTACATTCTTCTCTTACTGGAGGCAGCTGCCACTATGACCTCTACACTTACATTTCTCTCTTGCATGAGTGAAAGTCAATAGCAGCTTTCTTAGGGAACTCCTGCAGTCACAGGAAAGTAGCATTCCTTTTATCTTTTGAACTTCAAGGCTGTTTCCTTGACTCTGGATGCCTGCTGCCTGAAGGAGCTACCATTTCATCGTGGGAGTTTCCTCTTCGGCATTCCATTGGAAGTTCCCTGAAAGCTGGGTTGGTGTTGGATACTTCTTCATACCCTCCACAATCACAGGAACTGGCCTTGTGTAGCTCGAGAGTTCTGAAACGTGTGAAAGCAAGCATAGAAAGGATTGGAACATGAATAGACAAGTCACCTTAAGAGATATCAGTTGTTTTCAGCTGGAAATACAGTTTGCTATTGCAATTGTTGTAATCTTTATAACATGATAGGTGAACTTAAAAAAACTTTTTGACATTGCCTACTCAAACGTAAGGAAGACAACTTTATAATTCCCATTTTCTCAGTCTTGATTGTCCGCTTTTCACAGCACTCCTGGCCTAGATTGGCCTAGAAAACACGTAGAAACTGAATTCTAAAGGTAATGGAGTGATATTCCAAAGTATAATTGTAGCATTTTTAGTGATACAATCCTAACCTTTGGACTTCAAAAAAGCAGTGGCATGTGATGCAGCCCATTAGAGCAATAAGGGATTGCATGGCTGTTTTCAAACAGACAGGTGAAGAAAAGGGGGCAGAATCTGGTGAAATGTTGGAGAGCAGACATTTGTACAGTTTAGAGTGGGAGGGTAGGAGTCTGCCATCGCTCACACTAGGAGTGTAGGGCGCAGTAGGTTACTTCTCTCGTAAGACAGATGAAACATGGCATGGGATAGGGCCTGGGAATTCTGTAGCTAATGGAATATGAGCCAGTGAAACCCATTTAGACATCTCAACTCGGTTTCAATGTATTTTTTCCACCCCATCATCAAGAATGCTAAAATAGCAAACCTACAGCTAAACTTGCCTTTACCCCCTTGCTGTTTTTCATTCTGCCATCCTTTAGGATGTCATTTCTATACATACCCCTACCCCCACCCCCCCAAAAAATCTTTCCATTCCTGACAGACTGAGATGGAAGAAAGGTACAATTAACTTAGATACAGATAACTGCTTACCCATTTAGGAGCCTAAAACTAATCAGTCGACATTCTCCTGGCTGCATGACCCTCTCCGCATATGTGTATACATATCTGAGAGGTGCCTGGCTATTATAGCCCTGGTTAAGTCTCCTCAGTCTGAATCCATGGCTTGCTGGGGTCAAGGTAACTTGCACATACCTGCCTGCCTTCCATCTTGAGATCCTCCCCTCTCTCTCTGTGAATTTAAATTTGAAGGAGTGGCCCTTCTTCAAGTCTCAGACAATTTATATTATTGTGACAAAATTATTCTTGATCACTCCAGCCTGCTGTGATCTCTCTCCCACTCCTCAGAATTCTTGTGGCACTCATTTTGTCTCTATAGTTCACCTAGTACATTTTATATGCTGTCTTTAACTGTAGATTTTTTTTTATTCCTGTATATTTTGTATTGTCTCCCCATTGAGGTTGTAAAGCCCCTGAGGGCAAAAACCATCTGATTGTTTTATCTCCTTTTTATGAATGTGCATTGTTTCACATTGAATAGTGACTGAGCTCACAAATGTGTGATTGGATTTCTCACTTTGATTTCTATTTATGACCCATAGGTGGCACCCATTGAGTACTAGATAGCAAGCAACAACTTGTGGGACATCTGTCTGGCTCAGGCTACAGGTCTTTTTCTTCCAGTGATGACTTAGATTGAAATAATCATTAAACACTTAGTTAGCACAGTACCTTTTATAGTCCTCTTAACGTTTGCTGTAGCCCATTTATTAGACCATAGATATTCTCTTACACAGGCATTTACCAGAATTTTCATATTCTTTCTTGTAGGACCGTGTGACTTTTAGAAGAATCATAGTGAAAAACAATGCAAAAAAGCGGAGGATGTTTGAAACATTCATTGAATCTGTTCCCCTCCTTAAATCTCTAGAGGTAAAGTCTGTTTGAATAAGACTCTATTTATGAGGATTTAAGAAAAGCTGTTAAAAATATTCTATTGTTAGGTTTTAAGCTCATACTATTTTAACCCATATCTGTGTTGTATAGATATTATTTGTGACTTTCAGCTGAGGTCTTCCCCTTATAATTTGAGTATCTCCATCGTTTCAGGTGTCAGAACGAATGAAGATTGTGGATGTAATAGGAGAGAAGACCTATAAGGATGGAGAGCGTATAATCGCTCAGGTGAGTGGGAGCCTTGTGCAGCTCCTTTCCTGGAAGTCACCTCCTGAAGGACTAGTGCATCATTTGTCCTCTCACTTCTGGGAGCTCATGTTGCAAGGTGCTAGGGCACACTTCCTGCACAGTCTTCCTAAGCTCATTGACGTTGATCTCACTGATACACGCAGATCTTTTGCCTTCATTCACCTTTCCTTGGCTTCAGGTGTTTGTTCTTTTGGATGTCATTGTCTTTTGACCCTGAGTAGCTTCATTGCTGTTAAAACCTGTGCCCTTTATTCTATGTTTGGTACAAAGGTACCCTCTTAGCTAATACAGTAACACATTCCTGAATAATCTCTAAGTCAGGAAAAGAAACAGAGAAACAAAAAACAGGAAACAACAGAAAGCATACAATAAAATGGTAGACTTAAGCCCTAATATATGAGTAATTATTGTAAATACAGAGGATCTAAATATACCAATTAAGTGACAGGGACTGTTACAAACCAGAGTCCTTAGTCTTCAGTGATTGACTAAATTTATAAGGTGTCTGCAGTGTTTTGCTTTGTGCTTTTTTCTCATGTTATTTTTGGATGTTGTAAGGCTCGCCACACAGTACACGAGATCATGGTGATGAGTACTGTGTAATAATTTTTCTTGTCTACTATGTTTGTGTTTTTGTTTTTATTAAAGATTTTTATTGGGGCATTGGGGGGATGGGAACAGTGCTGGGGAATTGGGGCAAGGGGAACAGACAAGTTGCTATCCTTTTTGTTCTTCAGTCTAGTTGTGGAGGACGTTGCTTCATTGACCCAAGTTGGCACCATCATTGCGCTCTTCCTGGGCGAGGCAGGTCAGTTGCCGGCTTCTGGACGGCCACTCACAGCAGCTCCTGGCTGCTCACGCTGGCTGCTGGCTACACAGGGTAGCCCATGGCAACCCACTGCAGCAGGGGCTGCAGCCTACGCTGTTGCCAACCACTCATGGCAGCCCAGCTCCAGGTTGAGCTGTTGTTCAGCATCTTAGCTGTAGAGGGCAGTGTCACTGGCCCTCATATGTG